CACTGAGCTGTAACACCAGCACCTATTCAGTCTTTAAAAGAAGGATATCTGTCATTTATGACAACTTGAATGAATTATGTTAAGTGAAATAAGGCAGGTGTAGAAAGATAAATGCTGTAAGATCCCACTTACACATGGAATCTAAAAAAGTTGAAGCTGGGTGTGGTGGTCCATGCCTGTAATCCCAGGGGTTGGGGAAGCTGAGGCAGAAGGACTGCAAGTTCAAAGCAGCAACTTAGCAAGCCGTGTCTCAAAATAAAAAATAAAAAGGGCTGGGAATGTGGCTCAATGGATAAACATCCCTGGGTTCAATCCTCCGCATAAAAAATAAAGAATAAAAATAAACAAGTTGTACACATTGAAGTGAGTGGTTACCAAGCGATGAGGTGATGTTTGAGTAATGGGGAGAGTTGGTCAAAGAATTCAAAATCTCAGGTACAGCGCTGGGGATGTGGCTCAAGCGGTAGCGGTAGCGCGCTCGCCTGGCATGCGTGCGGCCCGGGTTTGATCCTCAGCACCACATACCAACAAAGATGTTGTGTCCGCCGAGAACTAAAAAATAAATATTAAAAATTCTCTCTCTCTCCTCTCTCTTTAAAAAAAAAAAATCTCAGTTACATTGCAGGAATAAATTGAAGAGATGCATATTACAACATGGTGGCTATGGTTTATTACTGTATATTGAATTCTTGAAAATCACTAAGAAAACCAGGCATGGTGGTTGTTTTAGTGACTCAGGAAGATGAGGCAGGAAGATCACAAGTTCCAGGCCAGCCTCTGCAATTTAGCAAGGCCCTAAATAATTAACGAGACCCTGTTTCAAAATAAAAAATAAAAAGGGTTGCAAATCTGACTGAGCTGTAAAGCACCCCTGGTATCTCTCATTACCCCCCACCAAAACAAAGAAAAAAAGAAAAAAGAAAATCACTAAGAGTGGGTTTTAAGTATTCTCATCACAAAATTAAAAAATATGTGAGATTGTAATATGTCATTTAGCTTGGTTTAGCCATCTTGAGTGTATTCATATTTCAAAACACATGTTGTGCATGATAAATATATACAATTATTTTGCCAATAAAAGTAAATTTAGTTTTAAAAAATTAGCCTTCCGGGCTGGGGATGTGGCTCAAGCGGTAGCGCGCTTGTCTGGCATGTGTGCGGCCCGGGTTCGATCCTCAGCACCACATACCAACAAAGATGTTGTGTCTGCTGATAACTAAAAAAATAAACATTAAAAAATTCTCTCTCTCTCTCTCTCTCTCAAAAATAAAAAAAAGACTGTAAAATGAAAATCTTTCCTTTCTAAAAAAAAAAAATTAGCCTTCATAGGCATGTAAGTACGAGTGAAGAATAATATTTGTTAAGATTATAGTGGTGGGCTGCTCATGGTGGCGCATGCCCGTAATTCCAGTGACTCTGTAGGCTGAGGCAGGAGGATCTCAAGTTCAAAGCCAGCCTCGCAACTTAGCGAGGCACTTAGCAACTTAGTAAGACCCTGTCTTTAAATGAAATACAAAATAGGGCTGGGGATGTGGCTCAGTAGTTGAGTGCCCCTGGATTCAACCCTTCGTACTGGGGATTGAATCCAGGGGAGCTTTAGCACTGAGCTATGTCCTTTTTATGCCTTCGGCAGACACCACATCTTTGTTTGTACTCGTAATTTTTATGTTACTTCTCCAGAAGCATTGCTAATCAGTTTCTTAGTCTGTTTTCTGTTGTTATTAACAGAATATAGGAGACTTGGTATTTATAAAGGAAGCCTCTTTTGATTCGAAGTTCAGAAAGCTGGGACATCCAAGATTGGGTGTTTGCATCTGCTTGGCTTCTGTTGAGAGCCTCCTGCTGCTTCAACCCAAAGCAGAAGGCAGAAGGTCAAGTAGGTGTTCATGCAAAAGAAAAAATATGAGGAGGCAATCTTGCTTTATAATGATCTTCTGGGAACTAATCTAGTCCGTGGGAGTAAGAACTACATGAGAAAGGTATTAATCCTTTCATGAGAGTTCTCTTCCCATGACCCAAACACCTCCCACTAGGCCTTACCTCCCACTGCCACACTGAGGAAGTAAGTTTCCAACACATGAATTTTTGGGGTATACACTCAATCCATGGCAGTTGCATTACAGTTTCATGAAGTATAAAGCATGGTGTTAGACAGGAATATTTAGGAAGAACTGCAACTTAAATTTCTTATTTTTTCCTTATTATTGGTTCTTTTTTAGTTATACATAACATTAGGATTCATTTTGATTATAATTATAAAAGCATGGAATACAATTTGCTCTAATTCAGTCCCTAGTGCCCTAGTGCTTCCTTATTCTTTCCCCTTCTTCCCCTCCTTGTAACTTTCTCTTTGCTGATCTTCCTGCTATTTACTTAGTTTTTTTTTTTTTTTTATTCTTTAAATTAGTGTTTTGTGGATATACACAGTGGTGAGATTCACTGGGGTGAATCTTAGGAAAATTAGGTCAGATTCATTTCCACTGTCCTTCCTCCCTGTCCCTCGATCCCCTTCCTCCACTCCTCTAATCTTTCTTCTGTTTTGATGGAATCCCACCTCTTTTCTTTTCTTTTTTCTTTTCTGTACCACAATTGAACCCAGGGGCGCTTAACCACTGAGCAACATCCCCAGTCCTTTGTATGTTTTACTTAGAGACAGGGCCTTGCACGTAAAGTTGCTGAGGCTGGCTTTGAATTTCTGATCCTCTTGCCACAGTCTCTTGATCTTCTGGGATTACAGGAATGTGCTACCATGCCTGGCTTCTATTTCTTATTAATAATATCTCTTCTTTTAAAAATTTTGCAACTTATAGTTCATCTAGCTTACCTCAGTTTCCAGTAATATGTTTTTTTTTCCTTCTGTTTTAGAACTTAAACTTATCCATTGTTTGCTTTTCTAGTATAGTTTTTCAAACAATGTTTTGTAAGCCAAGAAATCAGTTTAGTGGGCTGTAGCTTACATAGACTCGAACAGAGACTATGAAAATGCATCTAAGGAAGTGAAGCAAATGATTTTGTGAATCTTGTGTTTTAGTTATATAATTATACAGGTAGGTGGGTTTGTACTGGGTCTCAATGTACAATGTATATCCTTGTAATATATCCTTGTGGTTGTTAAAAAAAGTTCATAAGCCACTGCTTTAGAATATATTATATAGTTTTGTTTTAAGTTATCTAGATGATATGTTTAAGAGTTAAATGTTAAGAATAAGGAGAAAGCTATCCTAGAGAGGCAGGGGTATGAGGTGACTAAAAGCAAACTCTAGAGCCAAAAATCCTAGGTTCATGATTCCTTTCGTCTTAATCCATTTTGTGTTGCTCTAAAAACCACCTGCGGCTGGGTAAAATAAAATAAAGGGGTTTATTTGGCTGATGATTCTGGTGGCTGTGGGAGTCCAAATAATATTTCACTCCCTGGCTGCAATATAATATGGCAAAGAAAAGTAAAGGGAACCAGCTTCATGAAGAAGGGCTGAAGCACATGGGTAGCCTCATATTGTAACAACCGGCTATTAAGAGAGCTAATCCATTCCTAGAGTCTAACATTAATCCATTTATGAAGGTGGAGCCCCATGACTGAATTATTTTCCAGTAGGTACCACCTCTTAAAGGTTCTGTCATCTCAACACCCATCACAGTGGGGACCAGGCTTCTAGTACATGAATTTTTGGGGTACAAATCACTTCCAAATGATACGACCCTCTTAATCATTTTCTTACTATTACCTTGTGCAAGATCCTTGACCTTTATTTTTTTGTTTCCTCAGCTGTCAAAATGGGACAAGTAATATCAACTATTTTATAGAGTTGTTAAGAAGATAATAACAAACAGAATAACTCATGGAATATAGTACTATACATGCAGTTTGCTATATAAATTGCATAATTAACTCATTTTTTGGGATTTCTCCCATTTTCTCCAATGGTCAAATGAACTATTGACTTTTGATTGCTGTAAACCTAATATCAGTATAAACAAATTAATAAACGTCAAGCATGCTAAAAATAACATTTGTTTAAAATTATTATAAACCTTTGCAAAACACCCTACTCAGGGTTTTATTTTTATATAATAATCAGTCACATTAAGCTTGTTAAGTCTACTTGATCTGTTTATTGAAATCATTATTATTATTTGGATTATGTAATAGCACAGTATTGGTGGTAGAATTATCACTGTGGCCTTCATAAACTATGAAGAATTTTTGTAATATTCTGAGTCAATTATGAATAATGAAAATGATTTACAGTTATTGAGGTCTACCATGTGTAATGTGCAAGTTTTATATGTGTAGCTCATTTAATCCCCCTGAAACTCAATGAGAGAGGAATTATCATTATTTTACACATAATGAAACTGAGAATTAGAGGTTAACCCATGCATAAAATCACTTACCTATTTGTGGGTAATGTCTGAATTCAGACTTGAGCAATATGTGCTCACAATCAGTGTTATATCACATCTTAATGGTGAGTTCTTGGTTTTCAAAAGTGCAATTATACCTTTTCATTTCACTTTCATAGAAGTTGTTTGGTCTTATCAACGCTGTATCCCTTATATTGCAACAGAGGAGAAAGGCTAAGAGAAAAAGTAACTTTCTGAAGTCTCAGAGAAAAGGAAACTTTTTTTATTTTTTGTACAGGGGATTGAATTAAGAGGTGTTTTATCACTGAGATACAGCTCCCATTTTAATTTTTAAAATTTCATACAGGGTCTTTTTCTTTAAGGTTTTGAGTGGCCAAAAATTATTTGAAATACTAGTTTTCTGCTCAGGTATTTTCTTCAATTTTCTTATGTATAATGCTTAGTATGCCTTTGTGATTGGTATAGAATAACTCCATACACAGAGATATATACACATTTTTTAGTTACAGCTTAAGAATAAGTCAAACAATGCAACTCATTAATTTAAAGTGTAGAGTTCAACAGTTTTCAGCATTCAGAGATGTAAAACAACAATCACTTTAATCAATTGTATAACTGTGTTTGTGTGTGTGATTGAACCCAGGGGTTCTCTACCACTGAATCTTTCCATAAAGAAATACCATAACTTTTAGCTATCATTCCTTTCTTCCCATATCCCCAGCCTTAGGCAAGTACTAATCTTTCTCTGTTACTAGAGAGTTGGCTATTCTAGGTATTTCCAATAAAATGGAATCATACAACTCTTCCGGGTCTGGTTTATTTCACTTAGCATAATGTCTTTTAAGGTTTGTCCATGTTGCAGTATTTATCAGAACATCATTCTTTTTTACAGCTGAATAATATTCCACTGAATGGATATACCATATTTGTTTATCCATTAATCAGTTAATGAACATGTGGGTTGTTTCTGCCTTTTAGAAATTATGAATAATACTATTATGAATAGTTGGATGTCTATTTTTGAGTCCTTTTACATGAAGTTGAAGATAATTAAATTTTAACAAAAAATTCTATTTTTTCAACCTGTTCTAAACTCTAAAATTCTCATAATGTGCCTGTAAGCTGGTGAAAAGTTTTATGAACAAAAAGGCTTGAAAGAATGTGAGTGAATAAAAAACATTCCTGTAATTAATGTGGTTTCTAATTACAAAATAGCATTAACGTTAGAGAATTGATGGCAATGAATGGCTTCCTCCAATTGAATAGCATATGACAACTCGGTCTATCATTAAAGCCTATTACATAGCTTAGTTGGAAGTATTCCTAGTTAGTGTTTTAACTATAAACTCAACAAGTTGATTTAGAACATGGTAGTAGAACATGGTAGCAGAAAATCGTGTACATTTTCAGATTACAATGTACTTCACATTTAGTAAGATAGGACATTTCCGTTGTGACAACTGACATTAAGCATGCCAGTGTAAAATAGTACTGGGTCATATAAAAATCTCACAGGATATATTCTTTCTATTGAGAACTGAGAAATTTTGTAATTATGATCCTGTAAAATGAGTGATAGTTTTTAAAAGCCACTGTGGATATTTTTCAACTAATAAAAGAATGAAGTATATGGCATTTAGCTTCGGATGGAAGGATTAACTCTTACAGATAATGACTGCATCTCAATTTCTACTGGATTATCCTAATTGTAAATGGTGTCTATTGGAGTTTACAGTTTTTAAGAGTCCTTTATGGATAACTAACTTCATTAAAAACTTCATGTTCCTCATCTGTAGAGCTTTATATTGTAATATCACATGTCTACTTATTAATAGACAGGGCTGTCACACAATTTTGAAATTGAGAGGTCTAATTCTTCCATCCATTTGGTGGGGAAGTATCCAACAACCATCAGTTGTAATCCCAGTAAGCACCGCCAGGGCCAGACGCGAGAGGCATCACTTCCATCTTTACCAGGAGTCTTGGAAATCAACACCATGACGTCCACCGAAGACGTAGGTGTAGACAAGGAACAAAAGATAAGATCCTCGTGCTGGACCACCCTCCCGGGGCACACGGCGCCGTCTGAACCCAGCAGGGCTCCACGGGCCTCAGTGATGATGCGGGTGATAGAGTGGGGCCTCCATCAACCATTGAGGACCAGGAGATGGTGGAGGTGTGGGAGGGCCAACGCCTGGGCTGCCTCGCCGGCGACGGCGACGGCGACGCTGAAAGACGCCCCGGGACAGCTTGGTCCTTCTGGCGGGCAGAAGCCCCGATCCGGGGAGCCCGAAACTCCCTCCATCTTGGCTGATGGAAGTGGGCAGCGGCGTCCGGGTCTCCCCCGGGTCGCGCTGCCCACCAGGGCCCCGCGGACTCGCACTAGGAAATCGGGAGCCCTTCTCTCCGCCGAACCAGAGTCCAGTCGGGGCTGCTCGGGGACAAGTTTCCCAGTCCCACGGGGTTGGGTTCTGAATGGGTCCCAAGTTCCCCCAGCGGTTCCAACAAAATGGAGGACGTCGTCTCCTCCTGCTGCAGCCATGACGGGAGGTGGGGGGACTGTTCCCCACGGGGGCGAGGCGAGGGTGGAGGCGCCGCCACGGCCCTCAGAGGGCCCAGGTACCCAGTTCAGCCGCGTTCCCGACCTCCCCCCCTCCTCGCTCGAGTGCCCCCCGGCCTCTCCCCTCGCGGGTGCCTTCCAGGGACTGGACAGGGTGGACGTTGGGGCATCGAGGCCGCGTCTCTCCTCGGGCGGATTCGTTGGGAGCCGCGGCGACGGCCTGGACGCCCAGGCCCGGGCCCGAGCGAGGGCAGGCAGCCCCACTTCAGTCGCTCCTGCTATCCCGTTCCCGAGAGCCGGGGGCCCCAGCGGAGCCGCGGCCGGTTCGGCGGACAAGACAACTTGGGCTCCTGACCCTGGCGGACCTGGTGGGTGGGGGCGGGGAGGGGCGGGGGCAGCTAGGGGAGGGGACGCGGCCCAAGCCGAAGACCCGCGGAGGGGGGAGTGGAACGGCAGAGCCGGAGGTGTGGCCCGAGACTGACGGACAGTCGCATGGACCACCCCACCAAGGGGGGGTCCTGAAGGAAAGCAGGTGTAGCCTATGGATGTGCCCGAAGGGCTCTGGCCCGCCTCCGCCTTCAGCCAATAAGCATGCGGAGGGCGGGGCCTCCCGGGGCTCGGCCGCACCGCCGCCTCCGCCTCCTCCTCCTCCTCACCAGCGCTAAAGCCGGGACTGGACCGAGTGGAGTTGTGCGTGTCGCCGAAGGGGGGTGGGCCGGGGGAGGGGAGGTTCGTTCCGCGGAGCCGCAGCCAGAACCGGGTGAGGCTTATCCCCGCTGTCTTTGCAGTCCAGGGCCTCTGAGTGTGGGGGTGGCTGGGAGCAGCGCAGCCTCCGGAGGAGGAGGCGGAGGCGGAGGCGACTGGGGAGGCGGAGATGGGTGAGGGCAGCCTCCGGAGCCTCCCACCGACCCGGGCTTAATACCCCACGGCGCGGCCGCCGTCGCCGCTGCGGCGTCGGGGCCTCGGGGGCTGCTCCGGGCCGCGCTCATGTCACAGGCGTCTTTGCGTGCGGCCCGAGGGCTGCAGGAGTGCGGGCGCGGCCGGGCGGGCCGGGTGAGGTGGCCGCCAGGGGCGGGGGTCGCACGGGGCCGCCGGGGCGGGGGCGGGGGCGGCGGGCCTCCGGGAGGTCCAGGGGTATTTTCTTTTCTTTCCTGCGGGGGGGACGGGGGGAGGGGCGCTCGGGCCGGCCGGCTCTCCCGCTCTCCAGATTGCGTTTCCACCTTGTCCGCCCGAGCCGGGGTCCCCAAGTTTTTCGGGGCGAGGGTTCCTGCTTATGCCCCGCCAGGTTCCTTCTTTTGCTCTTCTGTTCCCCGTGGCTGCGCTGCGCGGCTCTGGCTCCTCACGTATTGTTTGGCTGGGTCTCTAATGGCGGACGGGGAGGCAGCGCTGCCGGTCGCCGACTGCAGGGGGGGGGGCAAACCTCGGGCCCAGGGCAACTGCTTGGGGCAAGCATGGGCGTTATCCACCCAGCGGTGACGTGAGCCCCTCCTTACCTCCAAATTAGTGTCGAGATTGACGGGGATGACGCTAGGTGGGCAAATTTAGGAGGGAATACAAATCCCTTGCTGGCGTCGGGGCAATGTTTGCCCTTCCCCCCCTTCCTTCCCAGTAGCATGCTTGATGCCCTTAGGCCCCCTCCTTTCCAGATTTTGCTTCCCACCTGGGTTTTGGCCCCAAATACATATTTTTAGTTATTTTGCTCCACTTGGTAAGAGGGGGCTGTTGTGCCCGGGTTTTGGGTAATAATAGAAGGGCCAAACCTACTTGACCTCGCATTCCCTTCCTCTGGAAGAAAAGCCTTGGTGCTCCCACCAGGTTAGCTGATCTTGATCAATTTTTCTTTTTTCTTTTTCTTTTTTTAATCCCAGGACCAGAAATTGCCTTCAACCCTGTTTGGTGCATCTTTGGCAGAAAGTGAGAAGGAAAACACCCTGATTGTGAGTCCTTTGCCCCTAATGTGTTGCTCTTTATGGAGGACATTGTCAGGTTGTAGGGGTTCAGTCTGGGACTTGGCCCTCCAGGTTGTTTTGAGGGGAGGAACTTTCCCTTGGGTAGAAGCTGCCCTCGGGGCGAAGCCCGGGTAATGGTTGGTGAGGCAGCTGGGAGTGGGCGCTGCTGTTTCCACCGCTGCAGACATCGCTCCTGCTGCTGCAATACCAACCTCAGCAACCAGACGACGGGCTTCTGCAGCTGCTCACGTTACCGGGGAGGAGGGGTGGTGCTAAGGAGGGCATATTTCTGGTGCCCTCTAGAGTTCCAAAGTGGGAATTAACGGTATTTCCTTTTAAATGCTATGCATACAACCATTTTTAACATTTTTCTTCTTTCACATTGGATAATTGATTAAAGGATTGGAAGCATAGAGAGAACCATTTACCTTTTTGTCTCATCAAAACCACAAATTTTTGACTTTTATGGCTCTAGAGTTGCTCTATCTTTTTTTTCTGTGGCTTTGCTTAGCAAAGTGATGACGTCCACTCCTCTAGAATCTACTCTTACCTCACCACCTAGAATGCTGACCAGACCAGTGCTCTAGTTACTCTTAGTCTACCACCTCCAGTGTTGATTAGTCCTCACTTAAGAGTCTTATTGAATGTGTAACCTGGGAATTATATTAAAGGCCTATAATTTGAGGTTTTTAAGGCAATCTTGTTATGACAGGACTGTGAAATAAAAATAACCAAACATTTCCTTTAGTCAATTGAAAATAGTTATAAAATATCAGTGAAATCAACACTGTGGACACATTGTATCTCTTGCTGTCTTGAGTCCATTAACAGTTGATATTGTAACTTATAGACTCTGTTAGAGGTGGGTCATAAGTGTCAGATCTTCTGCTTAAATATTAAGGACCAAAGGGAGTAAAAAATAATGGAGGTAAGGATTTTCTGAATATGGATTGTGAAGGATGATACACTTCTAATTCTAGGCACAGTGTTAAGATATGTTCATGGAATACTTCCCTTAATTTAGTGAGTAGCCTGCAGGGGAATAAAGATATAATACAAATAGCATTAATTGAGCCCATATATGTCAGTCCAATTCTCATTTTTTAAAAAAAGTTTACTGTGAAAACTTTTTAAGTTTGTTTGTACCCATCATTTACATTCTAAAATTATGAATGCAAAATGTCCAAACTAATTTTTAACATATATTAAGTAATTTAATCCTCACAACTCAGTGATGTAATATTGTTTTTATTCCAAATTTGCAGAGGAGGAAACAGGCATGTGAAGATAACCCAGTTAGTAGTATTTGGTAAGGCAAGGGTTTATACTTAAGCAGTTTGATTACAGAGATTAAGTTCAGCAATTATGCAGTACAGTTTAAAAAGGCATAGTATGCTCATTTTGTAAATTCAGATTTCAAGAGAGTGAAAAATATTCAAGATTAGTCTTCCCAATCCATGGTCTTTTCTTCCTTATGTGTAAACAAATACAGAAGTATTTGTATCTTGTTGAGTACCCTTTTTTAAAATTAAGAGAATCATAGCTATGAATTAGCTTTAAAAAATGTTTTCATTAGTACATTGTAGTTATACATAATATTGAGTTGCATTTTGACATATTCATATATACTCCATTTCAGTCCCCAATACTTACTCTTTCCCTTCCCGCTTCTCTTCTCCTTTCTCTACTCTACTGGTCTTCCTTCTACTTATTTTATCAATTAGCTTTTTATACTCCCTTATTTCAAAACTAACAGGGTGAGTTTGGATCAGAATTTATGTTTTTCAAAGTGTCTACAATTTATAGTCCATATTGTCTCCTGAATACTGTAACTTGAATGAATGTAATTTATATGATAAGTTTTAAGCTCTTTAGTCATTAGATCATTCAAATATGATGGATCGAGGAGCAGGTTTTTCAGATAGATGGGTGGTGCTTATTACTATATAATCTTACAAAAAATTTCCATTTCTATAATTTTTATCATGATGTTAATAGGGGGAACTTGATAATTAGTTATGTTTGATAGTCATTTGGAGATGACACAGAAAGCATACAGATCAGGATTTTTTTTGATGCTAAAACAAATGAATGCTAATGAAAGCAATGATTTTTTAAAAAATAATACCAAAATGTGGTTCTTGTTTTGTTTAATGATATAGTTCAGAATTTAAAAAGTCTATTTAAAAACAGCAACTAATGGTGCTATAATGTGTTAGACATTAATAAGATGAAGGTAACCTGACAAATTTTGATTAACCTTGCCTATATAAGTTTATGTTCTACTAATATTTATTGAGTACTCAATGTGAATTAGATGCTTTTGTATATAGTTTCAAAGTTTTTTTTTTTTTTTTTTTTTTTCTTTTTTGTGGGGGAGTGCCTGGATTAAACTCAGGGACACTCAATCACTGAGCCATGTCCCCACCCCTATTTTGTATTTTATTTAGAGACAGGGTCTTACTAAGTTACTTAGTATTTTGCTTTTGCCGAGGCTGACTTTGAACTTGTAATCCTTGTGTGTCTCAGCCACTGGAATTATAGGCATGTGCCACCATACCCAGCTCAAAGTATTTTAATAGTTAAAATACTTTATAGTTTTGTGACATTTTTCCTTAGTACTTACTCTTCTCTCCCCCACCACTTATACTTTGAAATAGTTGGGAGAAAGATAAAGTGGCCCCTTTCACATTTTCTGTTTTTACATAATCTCATGGGCTGTATTTTTAATCTAAAAAAAGTAGGGGACAGCCCTGAATCACTCAGGTATTCCACAAAAGCTGACTTTTTAACATTTTAGATTTGGTTGGCTATGGAACTTGTCATACTGTCTTTGTATAACAGTATTTATATGTTTATTTTATTGTATTCTGCTCTTGTTTGAGGTACAAAAGTGCACAAACAATGTTATTGTGACAAACTCAATCTTTGCCTTTAATCAGATGTATTACTGTGATGGAAAGAATATGTATAAAATTCTGTAACTGTTGTCAAAAGGTGTGGAAGTTTTATATATTCTGTCTCTCTAGGCATTAAAATCTGTCCTCATTTCACTTGACAGTGTTATTAACATATGCCTTATTATGTTAAATGACATTTCTTATAAGGCAGCCGCCTTATAATGGCATATTCAGCTTCCTGTGTTTAGGGAATGCAAAGAGAGCCTAAACTAAAGTGGTTTCTCCATTGGATTCTCCAACTGTATTTTTTGTAGAATATCTCAAGTTAGAAAGCAGATTGCTTGGACTTTGCATTTTCTTTGCTTTCATTTTTTTTTTTTTTTAATTGCAGTTGGTTAATTTTCTGACAGGGATAGACCTGTCAGAGCATAGAATATGGATGTAGAATTGATTGAATAGGACTTTTACTCAAATCTAAATGTTCTTATGCAGAACTCTAATATGTAAGACTTTAAAACTTGTCACTGAGAAAAATTTCTGTTGGGTAAATGCAGAAATTTGAACTATAGAGCTATGGGTAACAATTGCAATTTATTTTTATATTTTATTTTGGTTGTGTACCAGTCCCCAAATTCTGTTTTACATGGTTGTAGTTCCAAATTTTTATTTGCAAACTTTTTACAATAACTCACTTTATAATTTTAGTTTTTTTTTTTTTAATTTTTTTTAATTCACTAAAATAGGAGAAGATCTTTAGGGGCACCAAATACTTGGTAACATGATGAATTAGTCTTCATAATTAAGGTGTGTTAAAATTTGGATTACCATGCATTTGAATATATTGTTTTATTCTAAAATATATCAAATTTTTAATGGAGTTAAATACTTGGAGCATTTCTGAAATTGCAGAATATTTGTAAACTATTGAAAAAACTACTTTAGAGTTGTGGTAGTGATTAGTTATAAAAATCACAGGACTAGATTGGGATTTGTCCTTTTTTTCTGTTTTTTTAATGGGAAGAATTATGGTGTTTAATTTGAAAAAGTGCATCACTTGGTATTTTTACTGATTTGATCAATGTTCTCTAAATATTAATGTTTGCTCTTTCAAGAAATGACTTAGGAGAAAACTTTGGATATTAGGAGAAATAGGTAATGAATATTTATTTAATAGGTCTTTTTTTTAAAATGCATATTTATGTTTCATAGTACAGGTTATGTTGTTTTTATGCTTGAAACAGTACTAAATTATTGTCAAGAGAGTTTGGATCTTCTTCTTTAATATCATTTGGCTACCAAGAACCAGGTTCTCTTTTATTTGTCCACAGGGTTTTAGATTTTGTTTCTCCTTAGTGAATTTGAAGGTTGGATTTGTTTTTGTGAATTAATAAGTTAGTCTGAGGGGTTTGAAAAGATTTTATCATTAACCCATTTTGCCCCATTGACCTGTATATATGCCGCACACAAAAACCTGTAAGATTTTATAGGACACCTATAAAATTGCTCAACTTGTTTTAATAGGTGTCTTATATATAAAATGATGCAACATAATGGATTAAATTATTGAATATTTAAATTTGATGTTGATTTTAAAAGCAATGTTAAATTGAAAAAAAAGTCACACTAAATTGGAAGTTTTAAGATGAATTTACTAATAATAGAATTAATTGTTACAACTTCAAATTATAGAAGTTGGGAAAGTCTGTTGTAATTACTTTCCAACTAGTTATTTTCTAACCATACATTTAGGTTGGATAAGAAAAATAAGTAGCTAATTTAAGTAAAATTGTGATACACAGAGCTTAAAGATAGAATACTCTTTAACTTGCAATTATAATAAAGTGTGACAAACTCTTCAGTCTTTTTGGTTTATGGAAATGCACATGTGTATGACTTTTGCTTATATTCACCCCAAACTTTGATTAAAATAGTGTAAGAATTTGGAGGTAAATTTTGGTTTAATTTAAAAACATTAAAAAAGATACTGGGATAGTTTTATATTCATTTGCTTCAAAGAGGCATGTCTTTTGCTTACTAAGAGCAGTGTTCCTTGCAGTGTTTAGCTGGGCCAGATGGTTCAGAGTAATA